TTTGTTTGTATGTGGTGCTGAGGATTGAACCCGGGTCGGGTCGCACGCATGCCAGGCGAGCGGGCTACCGCTTGAGCCACATCCCCAGCCCTGAAAGCCAAACTTTTTACTTCTGCAGAAGGGTGTGCTACTGAACAGAGTCTGACAAGCAAGCACACTTGGGCTGGTAGTCTGCCTGTTTTCATCCTTAAGGCAGCACTGCCCCTGCTCTGATAGAAGGAGCTTGGGGTTACAATATGCCTGATTGGCTAATTTTAAAATTGGGGCAGCAAAGGAAGGGCTGTAGTTAAAATGGCTACAATTGGATACAGGTTGGGAAGCTCAAAATGATTGTGATTTTATCTTACCTCTGATTTTACACTTAAGGCAAAATAAACTATATCCTGAAAGTGGACCATCAGATTATTTTTCACAAGCAAAATTGTGAAATAACTTGTTACAGAAGACTACATACAGTATAACCTTTTTTCTAGAGCTCACAAATGATCATTCACAGTTAATTTTATTACTTAGGGATATGTGATTAAGGCATAAACCCAAACATTTTAGAAATGTGCTTCTGTGGGAAAAAGGATGGGGTGGGAAGAAACACACAGGTACAGTAATGACAGTGTTCCAATTTGCCAGTTTTATTGTAATACTTCATAACTCATTGACACATATACTATGTATGTTTTTTTGTGTGGAAAATTCTGAAAATATTTTAAAATTAAAATAATTATGGGGAAAAGTTAATAAAGTTCTTTTTTTTTCCTTAGTATATCAATCCTGAACAAAGACAAAGACCAAGAGTGCTGAGTGTCACATGTATACACAAACACTGAATCCATTATTTTAGTGGCCATATAAGTTTTTAGTATACAGCAGGCCTTTCCTTTGCATAAGAAGGAAGAAAATCATGAACAACTTTTTAAAAACCAGGTTATATATTCAGAAATGACATCTGCTATTTTATAACACAATGCATCTAAATTTTATATGGGGTAGTTAGTTTGGCCATTTCCTTTGTGTTTCTAAAAGGAGAATAGGACAACAGGAACAAAAAGTATTGCAGTGAACTCAGAATATGACAACTGAATATTATTATTTACATGATCTTGGTTGTAGAGTATTTTCAAAGCTTTCATTGAGTGTTTCTCTTTGAAAAATAGTCTGATAGGTAAAGGTTACTTTTGCAGTTCAGATTTTTACTAAGTAAATTTAGAGATTTTCATCCCAGGCTGCACATTAGAATCACCTAGAGGAACTTTTAAAAAAGTAATTTGAGGTAAAATTCATATAACAAAATTTAATTATTTATTTTTAAAGTAGTCCTGGGGATTGAACCCAGGGCCTATTAGCCATTTTTTTTTCTAAAATTTTTTGTTATAGTTTAGATGGACACAATACCTTTATTTATTTTTATGTGGTAAAGAGGATCGAACCTAGTGCCTCACATGTGCTAGGCAAGCACTTTACTACTGATCCAACTGAGCTATGCCCTCAGCTCTTAGAGCACACTTCCCCAGCCCTCAAATTAACCATTTTTAAATGAACAACTTAGTGACATTTAGTGCATTCCCCATATTGTATATCCACCACCTCTAATCTAGTTCCAAAACCTTTCCATCATTCCAAAGAACCTGTTAGTACTCCCTCATTCTCTCAGCATTTTCTATTCATTCCCCACTCTTCCAAACTCCTGGCAGCCACCAGTCTGCATGTTTTCTGTATAGATTTATCTGTTTCATATAGTGTGGGATCTTTTCTSTTTAGCTTAACATATTTTTTCACTTAACATATTGTTTTTGGGATTCATCCATGGTGTAGCTTTATCAGTATTTTGTTCCTTTTTATAGCAGAGTGATATTTCATTGCATGTACATATCACTGTTTATTCATCTTTTGATGGATATTTGGGCTGGTTTTTGGTTTAGGCTATAGTAGAATTGTGGGATCAAATGAYAATTTTGTGTTTAACATTTTGAGGAAGTGCCAAATTGTTTACATAGCAACTGGACCGTTTTGCATTTACCTTGGGAATTTTAAAATCTAATAATTTTGGTGTATTTTATAAACATGCCAGTGTACAATTAATTATGGAGGGAGGACAGTCCTTCACTATAGAGTTTGAAAAGCACTTCATAATTCATTCTTTTTCACTGGTATTTAATATTTCACTTTGTGAATACATCACTATATTCATTGTACTTTTAAAAAAWTTTTWAAAATATTTTTTAGTTGAAGTTGGACACAATACTTTTATTTATTTATTTTTATGTGGTGCTGAGGATCAAACCCAGAACCTTGCATGTGCTAGACGAACACTCTACCACTGAGCCATAACCCCAATCCAATTTTTTTAAACATTTTTTAATAACTTTTTTTTTTTTAATGAGGTGTTGAGAACCACACCTAGTGCCTCATCCATGCTAGGCAAGCGCTCTACCTCTGAGCTATAGCCCCAGCCCCTTTGCATCAGTTTTTAGGGTATATACCTGGAAATGAAATTGCTGGATGGTGAGATGCATGCATCTTCAATTTAGATAGTCCTATACTGTTGTCCACATTACTGCACTAGTTTGTCCCACCATTGCTGAATTTATGAGTTTCTTCAGATCCTATATTATGATTTGACTCACTCTAAAACACATTGCTGCCAGGTACATTGATACATACCTGTAACACCAGAGACTTTAACCCCAGAGGCTAAAGCAGGAGGAGCCCAGGTTCAAGGCCAGCCTCAGCAACTTAGCAAGTTATGGAGGAGGGGACAGTCCTTCACTATAGAATTTGAAAAGTTTGAATTGAGATGTTAGCAGGTTAGGTAACTTAGTGAGATCCTGTCTCAAAATAAAAAAAGAGAGCTAGGGATGTGGCTTTGTTGTTAAAAGACCCTGGATTTAAACCCTATTACCAAAATAAATAAATAAGACTTGGGGATATAGCTCAGTAATTTCAATTCCCAGTACCAAAACAAACAAAACTTCCACAATTCAGGTTTCTTTTTATATAAATATAACTTTTCCTGAAATATCTCCTTCTTTTGAAAGGAAGGAATAAGATATAATTACACTGCCTACCAGTTGTGTTGTTTTGGCAAATTACTTAATCTTTATGAAGCTAGTGTGTGAAGTGGGGAAAATACCCTTTTTTCCCCATGTAGTTGATGTTAATACAGGTGTAATAACACATTTAAAAGGACTTTGCCCAGTACCCAATTCATAATAGAAATTACCGCAGTATATATTTGTTAAACAAGTATTTACTGAAAATATATTTTATGTGAAACTAGGATTGGGAATAGAGAGGTTAGCAGGATCTCTTCTATGTAGTGCTATATAGATATTAAGTCACATTCTCAAATAGGGGGAAATGTCTGTGGTAAGAGAAATGTTACAAGAGGATTATCTTTCTTATTCATTTTTTAAATTAATTTATTAATTTATTTAGTGGTACTGAGTATTGAACCCAGAGGTGCTTTACAACTGAGCTACATCCCAGACCTTTTTGTTTTTTATTTTTGAGACAGAGTTTTGTGAAGTTGCTGAAACTGGCCTCTAATTTGTAAGCCTTCTGCCTCAGCCTCCCAAATGCTGGGATTACAGGCCTGCACCATTGCACACTCAGCTCTTTCATATAATTTATACACTGCATTCATTGCAATTACTAATTGGTAACTATTAGGTGGTAAATTATGTTTCAGTACTTTACTTCCTTGTGTATTTTCAGTAGGTACTAAATTTTTTTCATTTAACATACATTACTTTTGTAATCAGAAAAAAAGGGTGTTATCTAAATTGATAGCATTTGTTAAAGGAACATGGACTATAAACCTTAATAAAAATGCAACATTTATAAAGGAATACTCAGGGATTTAATTTTTTGCTAATTTATGTAAACATGGACTAGAATCATATTTACTGGAATTAGATAGAGAGTTGTGTAGCATTGAGATTTTTCCCTTTATTATTTGTATTAGGGATTGAACCCAGGGGCACTTAACCACTGAGCCACATCCCCAGCCCTTTTTATTTAGAGACAGGGTCTCACTAAGTTGCTTAGGACCTTGCTAAGTTGCTGAAGCTAGCTTTGAACTTGTGATCCTTTTACCTCAACCTCCTTGGCCAATGGGATTACAGGCATACACCACCACACCTGGCCTCTATCAGGAATTTTAGGTGAACAATTGAAAGAATGATTTCTCCAAAACTCTTTTCTTGTTCTCTTTTAGGGGAGAGAAATTTTTTTTCTTTGCCCTCCAAAAGTTTGATAATTGAGTTAATGAACATATTATGTGGGAAGTGATTGAAGTTTTTATAACATCCTGAGCTACAGAAAGGAATAGGGGCTCAGGGCTTCTGGAGGCAGGAGAGGAGAGCACAGCAAATAGAAACTTGTCTCCTTAAGCTGATAAAGTTTCTCATGTAAACTACCCTCAGAAGAATAAGTAACATCTGTGGCAATCTTTCTCTGTTCCAGGTGATACCATCATCCCCAAATCCTATTTTTAGACAGATGGAAGACCTCAGAGAAAAGACCTCTGCTTGCCTCTGCTATTTACTAGTGTAGGTTACCTGTATATTTATTAACTTCTTAAAAGGACAGCTTTTCAGAGCTATTCCCATGTCTAAACTTTTCTGAATGACCAGATGGAAATATGCCAAAAAAAATAGATTTTGGAGTGGCATATTTTGGTCTTCCACACCCATTAAAAGGCCAAGTAGTTTAGCTCTTTGATTTTATTTTAGTTTGGTCAAGTATCTAAGTTTTCCTTTGGCAAAATATATAACCATTTTTTTAAAAATGCTTAACCTTGATTTAGATTTAGATTTTTTGATTAACTTTTTTTTGTTGTTTTTAGAAAATGTTCTGTTAATGGAATTACTTGGGCATTTGATCAGAGAATGGACTTTTTACTCTTGTATTGCATACAATACAAAATAATTGCGAAAAAGAATTTTGTCTTAAGAGACAAGTTGATTGCTGGAAATAATAAGTGTCTACTTTTATCTGACTAGGAACTACTTTTAATTCCAAGGAAAAACTGGAAGCACAATGGGAGATGACAGTGAATGGTTGAAATTGCCAGTTGATCAAAAATGTGAACACAAGGTAAGACTCATCTGAAATTTAAATTTCAGTGTTATTGACTTGTTTTGGCACCAATGGGATTGCTCTCTTACTTAGAAGCATGTGAAAACATTGGCAGTTTCAAAAAACACTAGTGCCTTTTAGATGCATGTTATTTCATGTCTTTGAAAATAGGTGTCTCCAGCTCAATTTTAAAAATATTTTTGAGTTTTGGGAAAGATTTGAAGCTCTATCGATGAGCTAAATCCCCATCCCATGCAATTTTATTTTGAAACAAGATCTCCCAAAATTGTCCATTCTGGCCTCAGTTTGCAATCCTCCTGCCTCGGCCTCTCAAGTAGCTGGGTTTATAGGTACGCATCATGATGCCTGGCTTCAATAATTTTTAAAACAACAAATATCTACCAGTTAGTAGATTTTTTTTTTTTTGTATTTCATTCTCTCCCTTGTAAATTTATTCTCCTCTAAGTTCTCAAGTTACCTGTTTTGTGTTCTTAACAACTAGTTTCCTTTAATCTTCATTATTTAAATTTATGGTTGTTGATTATTAAAAATACAGAATAGAATTATTAACTCACACAGTTGTATCATTAGAATTCTACCTGTGAAGAGTAGAAATTTGAAAGTTTAGTTCCTGTGTCCTCAGACAGAACCACTTCTTCATTCTCTGTAATAATCACCATCATTCAGGCCCCTCCCCACAAGGGCCTTGTGCATTCTAGGCAAGTCTAGGCAAGTACTTTACCACTGTGCTACTTTGTATTTAATCATACAAAGTAGTCTTTCTCTAATACTGGAATGTAAGCTCCTGGAGGGCCAAAACTATATTGGTTTTTATATATTAAATACCTGTTGTATAGGGGCTGGAGTTGTGGCTGAGCAGTAGAGCACTTGCTTTGCAAAAGTGTGGCCCTGGGTTTGATCCTCAGCACCATATAAAATTGAACAAAGATATTATATCTATGTATAGCTATAAAATTTTTTCTTAAATTGATAGTATWGTATAGAACTTCCTAATGTTACACAAATGATGCTTAAAAATAGCATCCTTTGGAGAATAGGAAGTTTCATCAGTGTGATTTCTTATGCTTGAGTTTCAATATCTTCAATGGCAACTAATACTTGGAAACAAAATGAAACACATTTATCTTTTTTTTTGAAAATTATCTGAATTTCTTAAGCTCCTTTCTTGTTTCCATTCATGGTGTCCTTTGTTCAAATTACTTGTATAAGATTTTCAGTTTTACTTCTTCTCTTCCAGATTAATAGTAGATAATATCATTATATTTTCAAAATGATTAATATTTCAAAAATATTACTTTTATTTTAGCTGTGGAAAGCAAGGTTAAGTGGATATGAAGAAGCCCTGAAGATCTTCCAGAAAATAAAGGATGAAAAGAGCCCAGAATGGTCCAAGTTCTTAGGATTGATCAAAAAATTTGTCACTGATTCCAATGCAGTGGTTCAACTGAAAGGACTAGAAGCTGCACTTGTTTATGTTGAAAATGCCCACGTAGCAGGAAAGTAAGCAGTTTCTAATTGTTCTGGTAACAATCCTTGTCAGGAGCTATATAGGTTACATGTATTTATAAATCCTTAGTTATTAACAGTTTTAGAATATAAGAATTTTCTTACTTTTGTAACTCCTTGATATTTGTTTTTCATAGTTTTCACTTTCAAAGTCTAAATGGTACCTGGGRTCTCTTTAAAAGGATTAAAACAAAAGTCAGAGCTGGACACATTGGCACACAACAGTAATCCCAGTGGCTCAGAAGGATGGGGCAGGAGGATCACAAGTTCAAGGCCAGCCTCAGCAACTTAGCAAGGACCTAGGCAACTTATTGAGTCCCTGTCTCAAAATAAAAAGGGCCGGGGATGTACCTCAGTGGTTACGTGCCCCTGGGTTCAATCCCCTGTACCCCCTCCCCCMAAAAAATAGAAATCAGATCTTGAGCTTTTATCTTAAAGTTTAGACATTTTATCTCCTGGGAGAGGGAGCGCTGACTAAAACTCTGTGACTCGTGGCTTGTTTGACTTGAGCTACAGGTGAGAGAAGTTTGCATTTACCCACTTTCCTATACCTCGTAAACCTAATGATTTTTTTTTTTAACGTCTTTATGTCATCGATTAGAATCTTTGATACTAATCAGAGTTGGGATTCTGACTTAAGTGCACAAGAAAGATGTTGGGACCTGACTTRAGTGCACAAGAAAGATGTACTTGATTCAAAAATTGAAACATTATGGCTGGGATTGTGGCTYAGTGGTAGAGCACTTGCCTACATGTGAGGCACTGTGTTCAATTCTCAACAAACACCACCTGTAAATAAATGAATAAAATGAAGTCTCTCAACAACTAAAAAAAACTTTAAGAAAAATTGAACCAATAAAGAGAAGAAATCATATGAAAGTTTAGTTAACCAGCAAACCATTGCTTTTTTCATTTTTTTWAATATCAGAAACAACTTTTTTGACAAATCCTGTACATAATTCCAACCCACCCAATTCTTCTAGTCCCCAGGAGTATAGATTTTATTTAATTTAGTGGAGACTCAAATCGTTACTGTAAAACTTTGCTGAGGAATTGAGAGCAGTCTTTTCATATTAAAGGTACATATATCCTTTTATGCCCTTGTATGAAGAAATTCTCTTGTCCAAAGAAGTATTTAAAGTGATTTAAAATTTTTCAAAAAGCAAACACTTTGTACTCTTATTTTTATAACATATACTTGTATATCCACACATACGTGAGAGAAAGAGAGAGACATGCTTTAGAGAAAGGTCTAGAAGGATGGATATCAAACATAGGAAATAGGATAGGATTTAAAGACATTTTTGCTTTCTTCTTTGAATTTTTTTACATTTATAAACTGAAGCTATGGTGTGATATGTCTTAAACTGTCGCTTGCATAAGGTTTTATTRATGTTCTGAAATGTAAATTTACAAATTAGAAACTCATTTACTTTGAAGCATTTGTAAAAGTACTTCTATACCCCATTTCCATGACTACTAAAGCATGTCTTTTGTGTCTGGTGGTGTTTGTTTATGTTGTAGAACCACAGGAGAAGTTGTATCAGGTGTTGTTAGTAAAGTATTCAACCAGCCTAAAGCCAAAGCCAAGGAACTTGGCATAGAGATTTGTCTCATGTACATAGAGATTGAGAAAGGAGAGGCTGTGCAAGAAGAGCTTCTAAAAGGCCTGGACAATAAGAACCCCAAGATAATTGTGGCCTGTATAGAGACACTGAGGAAAGCCTTAAGGTAAGATTTTTCCTTTGCTTTAGTTCTGTTAACTAGAGGATGTCAACTGAGTTTGGGTTCCTAATTTAAACAGAAATGGAAACTGCTAAACTTGACTTGGCATACCACAACAGGAAAGTGATCTGGAAAAGATGAAGTCATTCCTCAAATGTGGCACTTTGTATTGGGTAGTTTTAGCCTTCAAGTGTGTTATATGATTACTTTCTCTAAATCCCTTTCTAATGAAGATGAACAGGGGTACTTGTCAGCCAGTCAAAATTAGCCATCTAGTAGAAATGTACTCCCAAGGTATTTCACCAGTTTCTTTTTCTGTCCTCAAGTACAGACTTATGTACTTTGAAGTGTTGGCTATGAAGACAGTTTGTTGGCAATAGCAAATCTTGATTTAGATATTTTTTTGGYAAAGTGGAAGCAAACGGCTATATGCTTTTAAGCAGAAGCACAGCAACAGCAAATAGAAAATAACTTTTACATAATAAGTCATTTTCAAACCTAGAATTTCTCATTTGGCATGAAGCTTTTCATGAATGGAATCTTCRTTCAGGAATAAGTGGCTGCAATTTGTTATGAAACTCTGACTTAGATCAGTACTTTTTTTCTGATTTGGCAGTCCTTCTAATCTGATATCCTATCTCCAATACTATCCACTTTAGACACCTTAGAAAACAGTGAAATCATCATTCTTTAATGTTGTTAAACTAACTTTGATTTATGTCTTAAACTTTTATATTGTCTTTTGCAAAAATTTGACTTCACCTAGATACTTATGTGATAAAGTCTTCCTTATTTCTAGCTTAGAGTACATATGTATTTTATGAGAATCAAATAATATATTTATTCTTTCTCATAGAAATTTAGCAAATTGACTTAAGTATCAGAATTGTGCTTGTATCAGTAGAGCTATTCCCTAATAAAATACAAAATATACTATAATCTTCTACCTTTATATTAGAAGTTTTTAGTCTAAACTCTCACATACTCTAGTTATTTCATCTTTTAACTGACTGGGAAATAAGAGTAGGGAAAGAACAAATTAGATATTTCTTCTTGTTAGATATTTCCTCGTAGTAGCAGCGATGGCAGCAGCAGCAGCAGCAGCAGCAGCAGCAGCAGTAGTAGTAGTAGTTGTTGTTTTAATACTGGGGCTCTTACCCAGGGCCTCACTCATGCTATATCCTTAGCTCTGTCTTCATTATTGATTTTGTTATTTAGTCCATCCTGGTGTGGTTCTTAATTGTTCTAAAGCATTTCAGAATTTATAGTGGAACTAGGTAGATATCTGATCTTTAAGAACCTTGAACCTTGAAGCCAAACTAGGAGTTCCAAAATCTCTTCAAGTTATCTTTGTTAGTGGTAGCTTCAAAAGAGTTTCAGAAACATTCTGTTGTCCCTAACACAGACTTTAAATCTTTCAATTTTTTTTCTATAGTAATATGTTTAATATCAAAATTAGGTTTGGATTTGTTATGGTAATTGTTTTCCATGTGGATTTGCTCTCTCTATTTGTTTCTATTTTTCAGAAATAGGCTAAGCTAGAGAAACAAAAAAAAAGAATAAGATGAAACAATAGTAATATAAAGGAAGAATTCCCCCTTCTTTTGTTCAAAGGAAGATTTAAGAGACTCAATTATTAGGTTCTTCAGGCATCATGTTAAATAACCCAAAACTAAATGGTTTAAGATCACCATAATTTCTAATTTTTCCATTAGACTTAAAGATCAACTGAGCCAAGTTAAGTTTCTTTCCTAATAACATAAAAGACATTTTAAAGGAGATTTAAGAGTCATTTAGTTATTTTAATCTATAAATATATAACATAGCCAGGAATATTGTTAAAAATCACTTTCTTGGGAAAGTATTTTCACATTTTTCTTTCATCTATTGGAATATGCCTATAGCTATTGCTGAACAATTTTGTTAAATTAGTGCAAATTAAATATATTTATACATGTTAGATAATAAACAATATATTTAGGTCATACTACTCATTCAGAAATTCAGTGTTTCTTTCATAAGTAAATCCTTCCTGTTCCAGAATTTATTGTTCAGAAATGTTAGTAGTGATTTCAGAAAACTAAAATTGAAACTTATATATCCATCACATACTATATTTTCAAGTTGTTAAATTTTATGTGATAGATATATAAGGTTAAATATGCTATATTCTTTTTTGAGGGAGGTTGCTAATAGGAATTGATTTCAGGGATGTTTTACTAATGAGCTGTATCCCCAGCCTTTTTATTTTATTTTGAAAGAGGATCCCATTAAATTTCCCAGGCTGGCCTCAAACATGGTATCCTCCTGCATCATCCTGATGCAACTCCTGCATCAGTTGCTGGGATTATAGATGTGCATCCCTACTTGGCTCTAAATATGATAACTTTGGGGGAGAGAGGGTACTGGGGATTGAATTCAGGGGCACTTGACCACTGAGCCACATCCCCAGTCCTATTTTGTATTTTATTTAGAGACAGGGTCTCCCTGAGTCACTTAGCGCCTCACTTTTGCTGAGGCTGGCTTTGAACACACAATCCTCCTGCCTCAGCTTCTCTAGCTGCTGGGATTACAGGCATGCACCACACCGCACCCAGCATGATACCTTTCTAAATGAAGTCAGATTACAATTATTTTCCCCATGAAAAACTAAAGCAAAGAGATTTAATTTAAATTGTATGCAGTTATAGTATGAAACTAGCAAAATCAGTAATGAAACACTGCCAGGATTTGTAATCTTCTGGTTGAGTGAATTATCTTAATTATAAGAATATTTAAAGTTTACTTAAAGTAGATTTCACTCATCTAKAYATTTATTAGCTAACTTACTTTTTTTAGATTTTTTTATATAGTTAAGATACTACATGTCTTTGTCCTTTAGTTTGAATTATTCCTTGTCCGAAAGTTAATTTTAAAATGGTAATGTTATCTTGAGCCCTAGACATTAAAAAATACTCTTTTAAGGATGACACCCAAATACATACATAGTTCCTCCCTCCCCTTTTTTCTTTTTGCTGCCTTAAAAGAAAAAAGTTCAATGTATATAACTCTGTTAATAAATGGTATAAAATTATGCATGCATACCCAATCCAAGTACATTGGGTGTTGATGATTTTTTCCCCCAATTTTTTTTACTTCTAGTGAATTTGGTTCCAAAATCATCTTGCTTAAGCCTATTATCAAAGTATTGCCAAAACTCTTTGAGTCTCGAGAAAAGGCTGTTCGAGATGAAGCCAAACTAATTGCTGTGGAGATTTATAGATGGATTCGGGATGCTCTGAGACCCCCATTACAAAATATAAATTCTGTTCAGGTAAGGCACAAAGTTCTCTACTTTCCTTTGCAGAAGGTTAATATGAAAATATTCCCTTTCTATCATTGTTGATATTCTGTCCTTTTCTGTCCTTATACATAATCCCGTATACTATACAAGCACTCTACCACTGAGCTACCGCCCCCCAGCTCCATTCTTTTTTTTTTTTTTAAGAATTTTTTTTAATATTCATTTTTTAATTTTCAGCGGACACAACATCTTTGTTTGTATGTGGTGCTGAGGATCGAACCCGGGCCACACGCATGCCAGGCGAGCGCGCTACCACTTGAGCCATATCCCCAGCCCCCCCAGCTCCATTCTTAATTCCTGTATGCTAGTGTTAAATCTGTAACAGTTTAAAATGTCGCTTTATATTTCTATTAGGTAGCAGGACTTGGACTTTTCTATTTTGGTGAAGCACATTATATCTGGCTTTTTCTTAAAATTAGTTTTGGAGACATTTCTGACAGAATATAATCTGAATTCATGAACTAATGAGATTGTCTTAAAATATGGATTTTATTCTTCCATTACTGCTTGAGACATAGATCTTCAGTGTAGTAAATATAAGTTGATTTGACTTAAGCAACAAAATATATACAATTTAAATTTATTTTTTCTTGTTTGCCCTATTAAAGCCACATAAATAAGAAATTGAGGGCTGGGGATGTGGCTCAAGCGGTAGCGCGCTCGTCTGGCATGTGTGCRGCCCCGGGTTCGATCCTCAGCACCACATACAAACAAAGATGTTGTGTCCGCCAAATACTAAAAAAAAATAAATATTAAAAATTCTCTCTCTCTCTCCCTCTCTCTCACTGTCTCTCACTCTCTCTTTAAAAAAAAAAATTTTTTTTCTTGAAAAAAAAAAAAGAAAGTGAGTGCCAATATAAAGTGAATATAAATATTAAGTTTGTTCTCTAACGGTAGAATGTAGATAAGTTTTATAAAAATATTTTTATATTTTCAGTTGAAAGAACTTGAAGAAGAATGGGTCAAACTGCCAACAGGTGCTCCTAAACCAAGTCGGTTTCTGCGTTCCCAACAAGAATTRGAAGCTAAATTGGAACAGCAGCAGTCTGCTGGTGGAGATGCTGAGGGAGGTAAGCTCATTTAAACTCCAGTTTCCATAAAAATTAGTAAGTACTGCCACTGCCACAAGATTCTGTTACTGGGCATATTTTGAAGGACTAGCTTTCATAAATTTTAAGTTTCATGTGGCACTAATTACTATTACCCCTCAGGGATGTGAAAGAACTAGTAACTAAAGTAAAACCTTTCTATTTTTAAGGTTTGTTTTGTTTTGTTTTTCCTCCTCGAAGGTGGTGATGATGGTGATGAGGTGCCTCAAATAGATGCTTATGAGCTTTTGGAAGCAGTAGAGATCCTTTCCAAACTTCCCAAAGACTTTTATGACAAAATTGTAAGTATGGCTAAACTTCTTTTATTTATTTCATTTTAAATAATTACTTGGATAGAGTTAGAAAATGTTCCGCTGAGCCCTTTTCTGGTATATTCTCCTGCAGACTATATCTTCCTTAATAGGATGAGTTAGTTGCTTTCTTASCTCCCATACTACTTTGTACATGCAAATATTTTGGTACTTTTCGTTTCATTTTTTTTGCCAAAAATCAGAACATTATTCTTGAGTTCTTTTTCATCATTTGTTATCTGATTTTACCACTAAATAGCTCTCAAAATTCATCCCCCTTTTTTCATCCCTACTGCCACTACATTAACCCAGGGTTTCTTGACCTTGGTACTGTTGCCCTTTTTTTTTTTCCCAAATAACTGTTTTGGTGGAGCTTCCTGTGCATTGTAGGATATTTAGCAGCATCTGTGGCATTTACCCACCAGTAGTACCATTCCCTTAAATAATAATAATCAAAAATGTCTCCAGACATTGCTAACATGTCCATTTGAAAAAAAAAAATACTTTATGCCAATTACCACCATCTATTTTTCCCTCTTCCTGTCACATTTCTCAGTGTAATTTTAGGTACCATTTTTTAAAATGCAAACTTACCATACTAAAACCTGATAAAACTCTTCAGTGACTTCTACTGGTCTTAGAGATCATTCTATGGACATGGAGACCATCTGTGGCACATTTGAAGACCCCATTTATCTTCCAGCCATTTCTCTGATTATTCTCTCTTTCCTATTTTAGGCCATGCTGGGCATCTCCCAGTAGCAAAAGTACCACTATTTAAAAAAAAAAAAAAAAAAAACGCTGGGTATTGGGCTGGGGTTTTGGCTCAGTGGTGGAGTGCTTGCCTAGCATGTGCAAGACACTGGGTTTGAGTCTCAGCACCACATATAAATAAATAAAGATCCATCAATAACTAAAAAAACATTTTAAAAAAACCCACTAGGTATTAACATATGCAGTTTTTTCTACCAATAATATTCCTCTCTCAATAGTTCTCCAAATAATACCTCTTCAGCTTTTAAGCCTCACCTTAAGCATCACTTTTTCAGGAGGGTCCTAACCACCTCAACTAAATTCATTTCTCTGGTTCTGTAACAAAACAGCTTGTACATGTTCTTCATTCTAGTTATGATCTCATAATTATTTATTGAAGACATTTCTGGATATACTATCAATTCCTTGAGTATCTAATTAACTTCTGACTGACAAATAAACATTTGATAAATTGGATTAAATTATAATCTCCTCCAGGGTGTCAATCTTTGTATTCCCTGTTCTTTCAAATAATGGGTATTCAAATTGTTGAATGATTATTTGATCTCAAATTAAACATATTCTACTTTATAATCATAAAACAAGGATTAGAATTATACTCACAATCAGAAAACTGACTTCCAAAGTTAGATCTGTTTTGGTTGCTGGTTATATGATTATTCTTGTCTTTTTAATGCTGTCAAAATAGAATTTCCTTTATTTTAATTATGTCACTATAAGATGGACTAGAAATGCTTTTTATGATGTTTTCTGTTTGATGCCTATTTATTAACATTTGCCTAGTAAATGAGATGGAAAAGTATAACATTGTATTTATATTAAGGTTATGAAATCTTTGAAAATACATTGTTATATGTGCACAAAAAATGTATGAACAAAATATTCTGATTGGTAGCAGTTTTGCAATTTTGTTTTTTAACTTTAGACAAAGTTTCTGAAAACAAAAAGTTATGTTTTGTTTTGGCACTTTTGAATTAGTAGGGTGCAAAAAATAGGCTTTCATTCTGCTATCTTTCAAGTGACTCATTTGCATCTTACAGGAAGCAAAAAAATGGCAAGAAAGAAAAGAAGCCCTGGAGGCTGTAGAAGTACTAGTGAAGAACCCCAAATTGGAAGCGGGTGACTATGCAGATTTAGTAAAAGCATTAAAGAAGGTAAGTGGGAGGAGTTTCAGCATTGCTATCTTAACAGCCCAGGCCATTGAATTTCCCTTCATTAGTGATTCAGTAATTTTTTTTTTTTTAACGACAAGTACATTGCCATTTAAGGAACACTATTGATGATATTTGGATTATAGACATATATTTTTAAAAATTGTCCTAGGTTAATTTGGAGGATTTAGCTTCTAAAAAATTAGAAAAGAGGGTCTTCCTGATCTAAAAACAAAAATATAGTTCTATAATTCTGTGGAATATAATATTGTATAGATATTAAATATGCAGTATTTTTTATTAAATAGCAAATGATACCACAGTGTATTATAGCATCAGCATGCCAAGCAAAGTGAAGAAATATGTGATCAATTATAAAGTCAATAAATACTTAGAAAGAATCATTTTTAGAGAATAGTTCTTTGGTGTTGTGTAGGTCCACCCAAGTTGAATGTTGTTGCCAGTTTTTTTTAATGCAGTATTTTCTTTTTTAATAAAATCTTTTTTTTTTTTTTTTTTTTTTTTTTTAGAGAGAGAGAGAGAGAGAATTTTTTAATATTTATTTTTTAGTTGTTGGCGGACACAACATCTTTGTTTGTATGTGGTGCTGAGGATCGAACCTGGGCCGCACACATGCCAGGCGAGCGCGCTACCACTTGAGCCACATCCCCAGCCCTTAATAAAATCTTAAAGTAGAGATCAAACACTGTGGATATAGAGAGGAATGGTTGCAAAGATTTTTGTAATTTAGAGTCCCATTACCTTCCTGAAGGTACCTGCAGCAGTTTCCATTGGTGGTTCTTGGGTATAAATATTAGAGAACTGCTGCCGTATGGTRTCTTTCAGAGATAACATTCTTTTGGTTTTCCTATCTCAAAGCAAAGTCAGTAAACCTGTAGCTTCTCTATCATTATCAGGGTCTCCTCCTGCAAGTTACAGTGCTGCCAGTGATATGCCACTAGTAGAGAATTAGCAATTTGAAGTTGTGGTTTTGTGTGTGTGTTTTGGTAGAACTTGAAGATAGCAGAGTAAACATAATGAAGGGAGGCTCCTAAATTCACTATTTTTAAAATATTTTTAGTTGTTGATAGACCTTTATTTTATTTATCTAAACATGGTGCTGAGAATCGAACCCAGTGCCTCAAATTGCCAGGCAAATGCACTACTGCTGAGCCACAACCCCAACCCCTCTAAATTCACTATTGTCGAAGAGGAATAAAGACTTTATTCTTTTATAAGAAATAAAATTTGTCTTTCATGAGTGTAATAACATTCAGAGTTCTTTTGAGAGTACACTTTAACACCTTTCTATAGGGCTGTGACTATTTTGTTTTCCTTTTTATCCCCCTTTGTAGGTTGTTGGAAAGGACACCAATGTCATGTTAGTAGCTTTGGCAGCAAAATGTCTTACTGGCCTGGCTGTTGGGCTAAGAAAGAAATTTGGACAATATGCAGGACATGTAAGTAACACTTCTTTTCAGAAATAAATCCACAAAATTATCAAAAATGGCCAGCTAGACCGCTTTATGCTTTAAACCAACTTTTTGGCATAGATCTTTGTATATTGGGCAAAATAAGTTTCTCACTAAGTTTTATTATTCAACATAGCTCCTCACAAATATCAACAGATAGTAGTTACAACTATTAAATTCATAAGGCTTATGTGGAAAATCAGGCAGTTGGCCAAAAGTACTTATTTGAGTTGATTTATTTGCTTGTTATTAATATCTTGCTTTGTTCTTACAACTATATGCAATATAACTATGAATTTTTATAACAACCATGAGGAGGGGGTATAGCTCAGTAGAGGAGCCCTGAGTTCTCCAGCATACCTACTCCCACACAAAAAGAATTTTAATAACCAGGACCAGAATGAAATTAAGAGTAGGTAAGGTAATATCAAACATTAGATGAAGTTAATATATAAAATGTGTTGAGGTGTTTTAACTGTGGTAGTTGTTCATTAGCTCTAATTTTGGTCTAAATTAGTTAGAATGATTTAGCATCCTGAAAATTGAACTTTAGAGTTTAACCTCCTAGTCACTTGRTCATTTAATTTCCTAGATTGACATAAGAGTCCCTTAATAGTCCCTAATCATGTGTCAGTTTTTATATTATGAAGTTATTRTTTAGCTTCACTTGAGCTATGGTATTTAGAAGTTGGTTACTCATAATATTAAAAATAATTTCAGACAACTTAACAAAGAAGATACTACTAAATAAAAATAAACCAWGACTGATTTCTTACCAGGGAAATAAAAATAAAGATCAAATGCCAGGTGCCATAGCACATGCCTATATTCCCAGCTACTCAGGAGACTGAGGCTGGAGTGTTACTTGAGACCAGGAGTTTGAGACCAGCCTGGACAAAATAGACCCCTATCTCCAAAAATTAATGAATAAATAATTTTTTAAAAGAGGTCTCTAAAACCTTTTTAAATAATAATTTGGGCCAGGTGCAGTGGCACACACCTGTAATCCCAGAGGTTCAGGAGGCTTAGGCAGGGGATTGCAAGTTCAAAGCCAGCCTCAGCAAAAGCAAGGCGCTAAGCAACTCAGTGAGACCCTGTCTCTAAATAAAATACAAAATAGAGTTGAGGATGTGGCTGCCCTGAGTTTAATCCTTGGTAGCCAAATAAATAAATAAGTTGTATCAATAGTGTGTATTTTTATAGTAGCAAATATTTATATCTATAACTGTATATAGTATTTATATCTATGTGTAAGCTATCAATATATTAACTAACTTTTGGTCATTTTTGTGTTATTGATAAATAACTTTTCAAGGTAAAAACAATTTTTAAAACCCATTTTGATTTACTAAATAATGTTTGGCTAATTACCAGTCCCTTCGGTTTGAGTTCTGATTCTGGCTTTGTTTCACGTTGTTGTTCAGCTTAAAGACGTCTCCAGCACTCTATGATTGGAGTTTTGTTTTGTTTTTTTCTCAAAACTTTATGATGTAGGAACTGGGGTTATAGCTCATAAAAATAAAAAACTAAAGGTTTTTTTTTTWAACTATACAATATATACTGTATGATAACAAAACATATTAGTGTTTGACTTTTTTTTTTTCCCCCTGAGATACTAGGGATTGAATCCAGGGCTATTCTACTTCTACCCCTGGCTCTTAATATTTTTTATTTTGTCTTGAAACAGGATCTCACTGAGTTACCAAAACTGGCTTCAGACTTCCCAGCTACCTGCCTCAGCCTCCCAAGTTGCTGGGATTATAGGCATGAGCTTTGTTTGCTTTAGCTATTTATAGACTATCTTTTGTGAGATATTTATAAAAGTAAACTTCAATTTTGTAGCCATTATAATTTTTTTAAAGCTTTATAGCTTATATTAAAAAGTCAATTTTATTTCTCAAGGAAACCTTACTCCTGGTCTGTGGTCACTTTTGTGAAATCTTGAAAATAATTTTTGGGGATACCATTGACTTTGCTATCTTTTCTGAACCTTTAAAAAATCTTTGATAGTGCTGGGGTTGTAGCTCAGTGATAAGAGTTCTTGCCTCGAATGTGTGAGGCACTGAGTTCGATCCTTGGCACCACTTAAAAATAAATAAAGATATTGTGCCCAACTACAACTAAAAAAAAGTTTTTTTAAAAAAA